CACCACTACTATGGCCGGGGGTCACCACCACCACAACTATCACCGGGGGTCACCACCACCACCACCACCACCACTACTATGGCCGGGGGGTCACCACCAACACCACCACCACTACTATGGCCGGGGGGTCACCACCACCACTACTATGGCCGGGGGTCACCGCCACCACTACTATGGTCGGGGGTCACCACCACCACCACTACTATGGCCGGGGGTCACCACCACCACCGCTACTATGGCCGGGGGTCACCACCACCACCACTACTTTGGCCGGGGGGTCACCACGACCACTACTACTATGGCCGGGGGTCACCACCACCACCACTACTATGGCCGGGGGTCACTACCACCACCACCACCACCACCACTACTATGGCCGGGGGCCACCACCACCACCACTACTATCGCCGGGGGTCACCACCACCACCACTACTATGGCCGGGGGGTCACTACCACAACTACTACTATGGCCGGGGGTCACCACCACCACTACTACTATGGCCGGGGGTCACTACCACCACCACCACTACTATGGCCGGGGGTCACCACCTTCACCACTACTACAACCGGGGGGTCACCACGACCACTACTACTATGGCCTGGGGTCACCACCACCACCACCACCACAACTATGGCCGGGGGTCACCACCACCACAACTATGGCCGGGGGTCACCACCACCACCACCACTACTACTATGGCCGGGGGTCACCACCACCACCACAACTATGGCCGGGAGTCACCACCACCACCACCACAACTATGGCCGGGGGTCACCACCACCACCACCACTACTACTATGGCCGGGGGTCACCACCACCACCACTACTATGGCCGGGGGTCACCACCACCATCTCTACTATAGCCGGGGGTCACCACCACCACTACTATGGCCAGGGGGTCACCACCACCACCACTACTATGGCTGGGGGTCACCACCACCATCACTATTATAGCCGGGGGGTCACCACCACCACCACTACTATAGCCGGGGGTCACCACTACCACCACTATTCTGGCCGGGGGCCACCACCACCACCACTACTATAGCCGGTGGTCACCACCATTACCACCACCACAACTATTGCCGGGGGTCACCACCACCACAACTACTATGGCCGGGGGTCACCACCACCACCACCACCACCACTACTATGGCTGGGGGTCACCACCACCACCACTACTATGGCCGGGGGGTCACCACCACCACCACTACTATGGCCGGGGGGTCACCACCACCACTACTACTATGGCCGGGGGTCACCACCACCACCACCACCACCACAACTATGGCCGGGGGTCACCACCACCACCACTACTATGGCCGGGGGTCACCACCACCACCACCACCACTACTATGGCCGGGGGTCACCACTACTATGGCCGGGGGGTCACCACTACCACTACTACTTTGGCCGGGGGGTCACCACCACCACCACCACCACTACTATGGCCGGGGGTCACCACCACCACCACTACTATGGCCGGGGGGTCACCACCACCACAACAACTATGGCCGGGGGTCACCACCACCACCACTACTATGGCCGGGGGTCACCACCACCACCACTACTATGGCCGGGGGGTCACCACCACCACTACTATGGCCGGGGGCACCACCACCACCACTACTATGGCCGGGGGGTCACCACCACCACCACTACTATGGCCGGGGGGTCACCACCACCACCACTACTATGGCCGGGGGGTCACCACCACCACCACTACTATGGCCGGGGGGTCACCACCACCACCACTACTATGGCCGGGGGTCACCACCACCACCACTACTATGGCCGGGGGGTCACCACCACCACCACTACTATGGCCGGGGGGTCACCACCACCACTACTATGGCCGGGGGTCACCACCACCACCACAACTATGGCCGGGGGGTCACCACCACCACCACCACAACTATGGCCGGGGGGTCACCACCACCACCACTACTATGGCCGGGGCGTCACCACCACCATCACCACTACTATGGCCGGGGGGTCACCACCACCACTACTATGGCCGGGGGGTCACCACCACCACCACTACTATGGCCGGGGGTCACCACCATCACAACTACTATGGCCGGGGGTCACCACCACCACCCACTACTATGGCCGGGGGTCACCACCACCACCACTACTACTACTATGGCCGGGGGTCACCACCACCACCACTACTATGGCCTGGGGGTCACCACCACCACCACCACTACTCTAGCCGGGGGTCACCACTACCACCACCACTACTATAGCTGGGGGTCACCACCACCACCACTACTATGGCCGGAGGGTCATCACCACCACTACTATAGCTGGGGGTCACCACCACTACTATGGCCGGGGGTCACCACCATCACCACCACTACTATGGCCTGGGTGTCACCACCACCACTACTATGGCCGGGGGTCACCACCACCACCACTACTATGGCCTGGGGGTCACCACCACCACCACCACTATAGCTGGGGGTCACCATCACCACAACTACTATGGCCGGGGGTCACCACCATCATCACCACAACTACTATGGCCGGGGGTCACCACCACCATCACCACAACTACTATGGCCGGTGGTAGGAGGGGGTCACCACTACTATGGCCGGGGGGGGAGGGGGTCACCACTACTATGGCCGGGGGGGGGATAAGATAATGGTCCACATGTTGTACTTCTGTCATTTGTCCATCGTCTTGTAAGGAAAGAATTGGTTACGAAAGAAATAATCTAGCGTATCTAATCCTATCCAACGTATCCTGGGCCCTAACCTTGTTACTCATAGGATAGGTATAGTTTGGGAGTGGAATATGTTTGGTTAGCCCTGGATAGGTTGTCTTTAGCTTGTCTTAACTTGCTATTGTTAATATTAGACTTCCAAAACAGTCTTCTGTTGTCAAAAATACGTTATGGAGAAGTTATGACTAATGTATAATAATAATAACACGCAATACATGTATAATAATAATAATAATACACAGTATTATGTATAATAATAATACACACGGATATCACTGTAACGTTATATATCAAGTTCAGTGATATATGAAACGCTCAAATATATATATATATATATAAAATGATATATTAGTGATTAATCAAATGTTCATTTGATATATAACGTTATTGCAATTTCTGTGTGTACTGAAGTCAGAGGTAGAACTATTGGTTGACAGAGCCAGATGGCATTGGGGGGGGGGATTGTGTGATACCTCGGTTAGGCTTCAGTGGAATCCTCTGGAATCCTCGTGGGTGCAATAGTGCTCTAGGTTACAATTCTATTGACCATGCGGTGGTACAGTTGACTATAGTGCGCGTCTGGGAACATCCAGCGCGTAGGTTCAAATCCTCATCAAGTCCCTTGTGGATTCGTTCAAATAATAATTTATTTATAATATAGTGGCTGAACTAGAGTGACTACTTGGTGGAGTATATGTGTGTGACGCGCGACTGTGTGTGTGTGTGTGTGTGTGTGTGAGTGTGAGTGTGAGTGTGAGTGTGAGTGTGAGTGTGTGTGTGTGTGTGTGTGTGTGTGTGTGTGTGTGTGTGTGTGTGTGTGTGTGTGTGTGTGCGAGGGTACTAGAGAATGGCTTCCATCCTACACCCCACCAGCATTATGGTTCATCCTATAATACTGTTATCTGGCTTAGTCATTCCTGAGTAGCTGTGCGACGTGCTGCTACGGTTCGCAACCCATAACAGTTGGCTTGTGTTGTGTTGTTGGTAAGGTGAACAGTCTGTCGGTATTATATATTGTTATTTTGTTTGTAGGTGTGCGTACTGTGAATGTTTGTTGGTGTGTGCGTACTGTGAATGTTTGTTGGTGTGTGTGTACTGTGAATGTTTGTTGGTGTGTGTGTACTGTGAATGTTTGTTGGTGTGTGTGTACTGTGAATGTTTGTTGGTGTGTGTGTACTGTGAATGTTTGTTGGTGTGTATGTACTGTGAATGTTCGTTGACATACGTACTGTGAATGTTTGTTGACATGCGTACTGTGAATGTTTGTTGACATGCGTACTGTGAATGTTTGTTGACATGGGTACTGTGAATGTTTGTTGGTGTGTGTGTACTGTGAATGTTTGTTGACATGCGTACTGTGAATGTTTGTTGACATGCGTACTGTGAATGTTTGTTGGTGTGTGTACTGTGAATGTTTGTTGACATGCGTACTGTGAATGTTTGTTGACATTGGTACTGTGAATGTTTGTTGGTGTGTGTACTGTGAATGTTGACATGCGTACTGTGAATGTTTGTTGACATGCGTACTGTGAATGTTTGTAGGTGTGCGTACTGTGAATGTTTGTTGGTGTGTGTACTGTGAATGTTTGTTGGTGTGTGTACTGTGAATGTTTGTTGGTGTGTGTACTGTGAATGTTTGTAGGTGTGCGTACTGTGAATGTTTGTTGGTGTGTGTACTGTGAATGTTTGTCGACGTGCGTACTGTGAATGTTTGTTGGTGTGCGTACTGTGAATGTTTGTTGACATGCGTACTGTGAATGTTTGTAGGTGTGCGTACTGTGAATGTTTGTTGACATGCGTACTGTGAATGTTTGTTGGTGTGTGTACTGTAAATGTTTGTTGGTGTGTGTACTGTGAATGTTTGTTGGTGTGTGTACTGTGAATGTTTGTAGGTGTGCGTACTGTAAATGTTTTTTGGTGTGTGTACTGTGAATGTTTGTTGACATGCGTACTGTGAATGTTTGTAGGTGTGCGTACAGTGAATGTTTGTTGACATGCGTACTGTGAATGTTTGTTGACATGCGTACTGTGAATGTTTGTCGACGTGCGTGCTGTGAATGTTTGTTGGTGTGTGTACTGTGAATGTTTGTTGGTGTGTGTACTGTGAATGTTTGTTGGTGTGCGTACTGTGAATGTTTGTTGGTGTGCGTACTGTGAATGTTACCGTGCGTATCGGTAGTTGAATGTGGTGGTAAAGCTGGGAGTGTAGGATAGTTGTGGGTGTGTTCGGATACACAGGCTCCACTAGTGTTCCGGTGTTCCATCTGTATTCATCCACCCTGTTGGTGGTGGATGACCTTGTCACGGTACTGTCTCTGCTGGTGGATGACCTTGTCACGGTACTGTCCCTGCTGGTGGATGACCTTGTCACGGTACTGTCTCTGCTGGTGGATGACCTTGTCACGGTACTGTCTCTGCTGGTGGATGACCTTGTGATGGTACTGTCCCTGCTGGTGGATGACCTTGTCACGGTACTGTCTCTGCTGGTGGATGACCTTGTGATGGTACTGTCCCTGCTGGTGGATGACCTTGTGATGGTACTGTCGCTGCTGGTGGATGACCTTGTCACGGTACTGTCTCTGCTGGTGGATGACCTTGTGATGGTACTGTCCCTGCTGGTGGATGACCTTGTCACGGTACTGTCTCTACTGGTGGATGACCTTGTGATGGTACTGTCCCTGCTGGTGGATGACCTTGTCACGGTACTGTCCCTGCTAGTGGCTGACCTTGTCACGGTACTGTCCCTGCTGGTGGATGATCTTGTCACGGTACTGTCCCTGCTGGTGGATGACCTTGTGATGGTACTGTCCCTGCTGGTGGCTGACTGTTACGGTCCTCTCGGGACGCAACGGGGTCCTTACTCTGATGTTGTTAGAGGAAGTTGTATCCGACCCCAAGCCAGTAGTGGCTTTCAAGGGATGTGATCCGTGACGCAAGTAACTTAAAGGGGGTAGGGAAAGAGAGTTAAGAACTTCAGACTATAATTGTTCCCATCACCAAATAAATAATATATAAAAGAGTGCACAGGGGGAGGGGTATTAACACTGTACAGGGGAAATACACAATTGTCTTCTGTTGAAGACTCTGGACACAGGCTCTCGGTGCTAAATCCTCGGTGCTTCTTCGTGGCCTCACAACGAATCCTCTGGGAAGCTGAGCCTACCCTGGCCACAGGTCATCCAAAACACAGGTCCACTGGGGGCACCGCCGTGGAGGCCGTCAACCACAAATCCAGCAGGTCTGCTGGCAGGTTCCGGACCCGCAACGCTGGTCAGGCCACTCCACGAACGATATTAGGGTAACGCCCTAGACAGGAGCCTCGTGTGATACCACCAATCACTCTCCTGTCCTCAGTACCCCAGTGGATAATCGTCTCCAGCAGTCGCTCCCGGGTAATCCTTCTACTGCCACTCCACTGGCAGGTAACACCACAGTGTTCTTCCGGGGGACGACTTCACAGCTGCTGCAGCAAAGCACAAGGTATGGAGACGGCTGCCTTGGGTAGACTGACTCAACTTCCATCACAGCAGTCCCAGGTCGACTCTGTAAGCAGACACGTCATCAATAACTGGGACACACTAAGGCACCTCACTTACAGGCTCAGAGACAAACGCCCACCTATCCACTCCATAGATGGCGCTGGTGTCTGAGCACCACCTCACCAGAGGTCAGCAACGGCTGTGTTGAGCGCTGAACAGGACTGGAAACTGGCCCTCGAGGCCAGTACACGTCGTCCTCACCAGGTGTCGTCGTCCGTTTGGAGGGTTTTCGGGAGCTGACCCACAGATGGCGCGGTCGTCACTGCTCCGGGCTCGGACGCTGGATCCGGGTTCGTAACACCTCCCCACCAAAAAGAATTTGGTTTGGGGTTCTATAAAAAGAAACACAAACCAAATTAGTACGGCGACACAACTCCAAATGGACTCACATGCATTATGAACTGGAGTGATGAGGCTGTCTTGTCCACAGAACTGCTCTACTAGACAATTCCGGCACAACGGGAACTTGCGGATAGAAGACGATGATCTGTCTGAAGTAGTCTTCCACGTCTCCACTGCGATGTCAAGCAGGGGCATCATCTCACATCTCTCGAGTAAGGATCGATATCGACCCGATCTAGGGCGACTCGACACTTCCCTATGTCGTGGCACCGATGATGGCTGGTCACAGACGGCATTTCTGGTGCCGGTCCGGTAGTCCTTCAGGGAGACAGGAACCTGGAACACAGGGGTCTGATAATTCAGAGTGATAGCGACAGTGGGTAAGTCAATACTTACTGCATACACCTCTACTAGGCTTACACCTAGTTTCAACAGGGCTGCTTGCACACCGAAGATGGCATTCGCTCTGCCCACGTCAGGTCGACCAACGTTCCGTATAACGCTGTATTGAGGCTCAGCAATCACGCGGGGGGTGTCAATCTGTCGGAAACAGTCACTCATATTATCATTTCTCGTACCTCCTGTATCTACCATCACCTTCCAGGTCCCTTCTTTGACTGCAACACTCACAGTGCACGTCTCCAATCCCTGGGAACTCTTCACGATGTTCACGGGAGCCATCATCCTTCGGGTCGTCCACTGATCCTTACTGAGGACACACACGAGAATCAAACAAAATATCGCTAAGAAACATGGGGCCAATTGCGGGATAAGCTTCCCGAGCCTGTCATGTCCATAGCCGGCTATATCCACTAGCCTGGTTTGGACCAAAGAGGGCACTAGACCTTTCAAACACACCTCACATACCTCTGACGTCTGGGGAATCTCTGGCCGGTTCAATGAACGCTGTACAATGCCATACCGCAAGTACACATCCGCCTTCGCTCCAGACTCGTTGGTATCCGTGGGTGCCTGCACACAAGGCCTCTCTTCTTGCTCAGGTACTTCTGCCATCGTAACCTCATGTTCCTTGTCGAGAGAAAAATCAGGAGACACTGCTAGAACACTGTCGATCTGCGGGTGAGAGGACAAATTAAACTTACTCAAATCCGGGTCTGTCTTTACCTGGACATTACCACTGCCTGTTACCTCAGACCTTGCTGTTCTGGCTGACTCGTCCACGACCTTGGGATGATTGGTGCTCCAATCCGATACCAAGTCGTTGGCTAGTACCACGTCAATCCCAGCCACAGGGAGGGTATCGACTACTGCCAACGCACATGTGCCGCTGAAGTAAGGCGAGTCGAGATGTACCGGCACTAAGGGGGCGATATACTGCGTCCTAGGAAACCCAACCAGGACAACCTGTTGTCTCCCGTCCACACTTACTCCCTCGGGTAACGAGCTCTTCACGATCAGGGACTGGGCTGCTCCACTATCTCTGAGCACTACAACTGATCTACCAGTATGATCACTCGATACATACCCGCCTGAAGTGTGAGGGGAAAACAATCTGGGTTCTTCCTGCTGGTGATGTTCCACAGCTCATCAACATCACCGCCCTTCGTGCGCCGCCACCTCTTCTGCCTCGGCACATAGCAGCTACATGCCCTTTCTGCCCACAAGTCCAGCACACCATATTCCTCCTTGGACTCCGGTGTTTAGGACTGCTCGGACTAGTCCTTCGAGGGCTACTTGGGGGCGTCTTCTTAGCGCTTCGTGGGACGGGGGTCTCCTCTTCATCCTGAGGTTTATCAAACCGGCGTTGGTAATGCCTTGGGACGTACTTAGCAGAAGGCCTATGAGTCAGGATATACTCTTCAGCCATGGTGGCTGCCGCACTCAAGGTCTCTACCTGCTGTTCCTCTAAGTACGTCTTCAGGTCTCCAGACAAACAATCCTTGAAGTCCTCTAGCAGTATAAGCTGCTCGAGGTCTTCCTTGGTCTCCACCTTCCGAGAGGCACACCATTCCTGAAAAAGTCGCTCCTTGATGGTGGCGAATTCGGTGAAAGTGTGCTCTGAGGTCTTCTTCAGGTTTCGGAACTTCTGCCTGTACGCCTCAGGTACCAATTGGTACGCCATGAGCACAACCTTCTTCACCGTGTCGTAATCGCCGGAGTCGTCAAGGGATAACGTAGAGTAGGCGATTTGGGCCTTCCCAGTCAAGACTGACTGTATCATGATGGCCCAATTCTCCCTTGGCCACTCCAAAGAGGCAGCGACTTTCTCGAAGGCTGCAAAGAACTTCGAAACTTCCCTCTCATTGAATTTTGGGACCATTTTTATGTTTCTTACCGGATCGAAACCGCTGGTGTCCGTTGTTGGCCTCCGACCACCGCCTAATCGCAATACTTCTAGTTCATGTTGTCTCTGTCTTTCTTTTTCTTCCCTCTCTCGCTGTTTCTCTTCCCTTTCTCGCTCTTCTCTCTCTCTCGTTCTTCTCTTTCTCTTTCTCGTTCTTCTCTCTCTCGTCTCTCTTCTCTTTCTCGTTCTTCTCTCTCTCGTTTCTCTTCTCTTTCTCGTTCTTCTCTTTCTCGTTTCTCTTCTCTTTCTCGCTCTTCTCTTTCTCGTTTCTCTTCTCTTTCTCGCTCTTCTCTTCTTTCTTCTCTTTCTCTCTCTTCTCTCTCTCGTTTCTCTTCTCTTTCTAATTCTAAACGCCTCATCGCCAATTCTTTTTCTTTCATCTCCATTTCTTTATCTTTTAATTCTCGTTCTATTTCTAACTTCTTCCATTCAATTTCTCGATTAATTTCTAAGGCACGCATTTTGACAGTTAACAAGCTTATATTCAGCTCACCTGCATCACTGTCAATGTCACTACCTTTATCTTCCTTTTCCGTGGAAGCTATTTCTTCACCTTCCCTTGTACTAGGAGTCTCGCCTTCCTGTTTCTCTTCTGCCTTCAGGTGCTGGTGAACCTTGGACAAGATCTCCACACGGGAATCACTGGCACGGATCTTGATCTCCAGGTAGGCGCTCACTAGTACAAGCTCTGGTTTGCTCAGATATTTTAATCTGGCAAGACAGATTAAAATATCAGATTAGACAGGACAGATTAGACATTGCCAGATCCTCTCTGTTCAGAAAAGCCTGCACATCGTCCAGATCATCGATGGTAGCTTTCTCTGCCATTGTCACCGATGGAACACTTAACTAGCACTTGACACACCGCTTACACTTTAGCACTTAACGCACCGAGCACTGTTCTACGTCAATATTGCACTTTATCGCACCTGGCGCCTCACTTGCCAATATTGCACGTAATTACTTCGGGCACCGCACTACACAATATTGCACTAAATCACCACGAACACTTCGCTCTACAATATTGCACTGAATCACTGAGCACCGCACTAGTGAATATTGCACTTAATCGCTTAGTCACAGCGAGCACCGCACTGCACAATATTGCACTTCGTCACTCTTGAGCACCGCACAGGACGTATAACGTCACAATCGTCACTCACAGGGGGAATTATATACAGGGATTACGCCACTTCACCACCCCTGTCAAACATACTTAACAAGGGGACGGATCCCGCTGGGGATGCCAATTATGTTATGGCCCTCTCGGGACGCAACGGGGTTCTTACTCTGATGTTGTTAGAGGAAGTTGTATCCGACCCCAAGCCAGTAGTGGCTTTCAAGGGATGTGATCCGTGACGCAAGTAACTTAAAGGGGGTAGGGAAAGAAAGTTAAGAACTTAAGACTATAATTGTTCCCATCACCAAATAAATAATATATAAAAGAGTGCACAGGGGGAGGGGTATTAACACTGTACAGGGGAAATACACAATTTTCTTCTGTTGAAGACTCTGGACACAGGCTCTCGGTACTAAATCCTTGGTGCTTCTTCGTGGCCTCACAACGAATCCTCTGGGAAGCTGAGCCTACCCTGGCCACAGGTCAGCCAAAACACAGGTCCACGGGGGGCACCGCCGTGGAGGCCGTCAACCACAAATCCAGCAGGTCTGCTGGCAGGTTCCGGACCCGCAACGCTGGTCAGGCCACTCCACGAACGATATTAGGGTAACGCCCTAGACAGGAGCCTCGTGTGATACCACCAATCACTCTCCTGTCCTCAGTACCCCAGTGGATAATCGTCTCCAGCAGTCGCTCCCGGGTAATCCTTCTACTGCCACTCCACTGGCAGGGTAACACCACAGTGTTCTTCCGGGGGAAGACTTCACAGCTGCTGCAGCAAAGCACAAGGTATGGAGACGGCTGCCTTGGGTAGACTGACTCAACTTCCATCACAGCAGTCCCAGGTCGACTCTGTAAGCAGACACGTCATCAATAACTGGGACACACTAAGGCACCTCACTTACAGGCTCAGACACAAACGCCCACCTATCCACTCCATAGATGGCGCTGGTGTCTGAGCACCACCTCACCAGAGGTCAGCAACGGCTGTGTTGAGCGCTGAACAGGACTGGAAACTGGCCCTCGAGGCCAGTACACATCGTCCTCACCAGGTGTCGTCGTCCGTTTGGAGGGGGTTTCGGGAGCTGACCCACAGATGGCGCGGTCGTCACTGCTCCGGGCTCGGACGCTGGATCCAGGTTCGTAACAGTGACTGGTGGCTGACCTTGTGATGGTACTGTCCCTGCTGGTGGCTGACCTTGTCACGGTACTGTCCCTGCTGGTGGCTGACCTTGTGATGGTACTGTCCCTGCTGGTGGATGACCTTGTCACGGTACTGTCCCTGCTGGTGGCTGACCTTGTGATGGTACTGTCCCTGCTGGTGGCTGACCTTGTGATGGTACTGTCCCTGCTGGTGGATGACCTTGTGATGGTACTGTCCCTGCTGGTGGCTGACCTTGTGATGGTACTGTCCCTGCTGGTGGATGACCTTGTGATGGTACTGTCCCTGCTGGTGGATGACCTTGTGATGGTACTGTCCCTGCTGGTGGCTGACCTTGTGATGGTACTGTCCCTGCTGGTGGCTGACCTTGTGATGGTACTGTCCCTGCTGGTGGCTGACCTTGTCACGGTACTGTCCCTGCTGGTGGCTGACCTTGTGATGGTACTGTCCCTGCTGGTGGATGACCTTGTGATGGTACTGTCCCTGCTGGTGGCTGACCTTGTGATGGTACTGTCCCTGCTGGTGGATGACCTTGTGATGGTACTGTCCCTGCTGGTGGCTGACCTTGTGATGGTACTGTCCCTGCTGGTGGATGACCTTGTGATGGTACTGTCCCTGCTGGTGGCTGACCTTGTGATGGTACTGTCCCTGCTGGTGGATGACCTTGTGATGGTACTGTCCCTGCTGGTGTCTGACCTTGTGATGGTACTGTCCCTGCTGGTGGCTGACCTTGTCACGGTACTGTCCCTGCTGGTGGCTGACCTTGTGATGGTACTGTCCCTGCTGGTGGATGACCTTGTGATGGTACTGTCCCTGCTGGTGGCTGACCTTGTGATGGTACTGTCCCTGCTGGTGGATGACCTTGTGATGGTACTGTCCCTGCTGGTGGCTGACCTTGTGATGGTACTGTCCCTGCTGGTGGCTGACCTTGTGATGGTACTGTCCATGCTGGTGGATGACCTTGTGATGGTACTGTCCCTGCTGGTGGCTGACCTTGTCACGGTACTGTCCCTGCTGGTGGCTGACCTTGTCACGGTACTGTCCTTGCTGGTGGATGATCTTGTCACGGTACTGTCTCTGCTGGTGGATGACCTTGTCACGGTACTGTCCCTGCTGGTGGATGACCTTGTCACGGTACTGTCCCTGCTGGTGGATGATCTTGTCACGGTACTGTCCCTGCTGGTGGCTGACCTTGTGATGGTACTGTCCCTGCTGGTGGATGACCTTGTGATGGTACTGTCCCTGCTGGTGGATGACCTTGTCACGGTACTGTCCCTGCTGGTGGATGATCTTGTCACGGTACTGTCCCTGCTGGTGGCTGACCTTGTGATGGTACTGTCCCTGCTGGTGGATGACCTTGTCACGGTACTGTCTCTGCTGGTGGATGACCTTGTGATGGTACTGTCCCTGCTGGTGGATGACCTTGTCACGGTACTGTCTCTGCTGGTGGATGACCTTGTGATGGTACTGTTCCTGCTGGTGGATGACCTTGTGATGGTACTGTCCCTGCTGGTGGATGACCTTGTCACGGTACTGTCCCTCCTGGTGGATGATCTTGTCACGGTACTGTCCCTGCTGGTGGCTGACCTTGTGATGGTACTGTCCCTGCTGGTGGCTGACCTTGTGATGGTACTGTCTCTGCTGGTGGATGACCTTGTGATGGTACTGTCCCTGCTGGTGGATGACCTTGTCACGGTACTGTCCCTGCTGGTGGATGATCTTGTCACGGTACTGTCCCTGCTGGTGGCTGACCTTGTGATGGTACTGTACCTGCTGGTGGATGACCTTGTGATGGTACTGTCCCTGCTGGTGGATGACCTTGTCACGGTACTGTCCCTGCTGGTGGCTGACCTTGTGATGGTACTGTCTCTGCTGGTGGATGACCTTGTGATGGTACTGTCCCTGCTGGTGGATGACCTTGTCACGGTACTGTCCCTGCTGGTGGATGACCTTGTCACGGTACTCTCTCTGCTGGTGGATGACCTTGTCTCGGTACTCTCTCTGCTGGTGGATGACCTTGTCTCGGTACTGCCCCTGCTGGTGGATGACCTTGTCACGGTACTGTCCCTGCTGGTGGATGATCTTGTCTCGGTACTGCCCCTGCTGGTGGATGACCTTGTGATGGTACTGTCCCTGCTGGTGGATGATCTTGTCACGGTACTGTCCCTGCTGGTGGATGACCTTGTCACGGTACTGTCCCTGCTGGTGGATGACCTTGTCACGGTACTGTCCCTGCTGGTGGCTGACCTTGTCACGGTACTGCCCCTGCTGGTGGATGACCTTGTCACGGTACTGTCCCTGCTGGTGGCTGACCTTGTCACGGTACTGTCCCTGCTGGTGGATGACCTTGTCACGGTACTGCCCCTGCTGGTGGATGACCTTGTCTCGGTACTGTCTCTGCTGGCGGATGACCTTGTCTCGGTACTGTCTCTGCTGGTGGATGACCTTGTCACGGTACTGTCCCTGCTGGTGGATGACCTTGTGATGGTACTGTCCCTGCTGGTGGCTGACCTTGTGATGGTACTGTCCCTGCTGGTGGATGACCTTGTGATGGTACTGTCCCTGCTGGTGGCTGACCTTGTGATGGTACTGTCCCTGCTGGTGGCTGACCTTGTGATGGTACTGTCCCTGCTGGTTGATGACCTTGTGATGGTACTGTCCCTGCTGGTGGCTGACCTTGTGATGGTACTGTCCCTGCTGGTGGATGACCTTGTGATGGTACTGTCCCTGCTGGTGGCTGACCTTGTGATGGTACTGTCCCTGCTGGTGGATGACCTTGTGATGGTACTGTCCCTGCTGGTGGATGACCTTGTTATACTTGTGTATGGGTCCTGTTATACTCGTGTATGGATCCTGTTATACATGTGTATGGGTCCTGTTATACTTGTGTATGGGTCCTGTTATACTTGTGTATGGGTCCTGTTATACATGTGTTTGGGTCCTGTTATTCTTGTGTATGGGTCCTGTTATACTTGTGTATGGGTCCTGTTATACTCGTGTATGGGTCCTGTTATACTCGTGTATTTATCCTGTTATACATGTGTATGGGTCCTGTTATACTTGTGTATGTGTCCTGTTATACATGTGTATGGGTCCTGTTATACTTGTGTATGGGTCCTGTTATACATGTGTATGGGTCCTGTTATTCTTGTGTATGGGTCCTGTTATACTTGTGTATGTGTCCTGTTATACTCGTGTATGTGTCCTGTTATACTTGTGTATGGGTCCTGTTATACTTGTGTATGTGTCCTGTTATACTTGTGTATGTGTCCTGTTATACTTGTGTATGGGTCCTGTTATACTTGTGTATGGTCCTGTTATACTCGTGTATGGGTCCTGTTATACTCGTGTATGGGTCCTGTTATACTCGTGTATGGGTCCTGTTATACTCGTGTATGGGTCCTGTTATACTCGTGTATGGGTCCTGTTATACCTGTGTATGGGTCCTGTTATACTTGTGTATGGGTCCTGTTATACTTGTGTATGGGTCCTGTTATACTTGCGTATGGGTCCTGTTATACTTGCGTATGGGTCCTGTTATGCTTTTGTATGGGTCCTGTTATACATGTGTATGGGTCCTGTTATACTCGTGTATGTGTCCTGTTATACTTGTGTATGGGTCCTGTTATACTCGTATGGGTCCTGTTATACTCGTGTATGGGTCCTGTTATACTCGTGTATGGGTCCTGTTATACTTGTGTATGGGTCCTGTTATACTTGTGTATGCGTCCTGTTATACTCGTGTATGGGTCCTGTTATACTCGTGTATGGGTCCTGTTATACTCGTGTATGGGTCCTGTTATACTCGTGTATGGGTCCTGTTATACTCGTGTATGGGTCCTGTTATACTCGTGTATGGGTCCTGTTATACTCGTGTATGGGTCCTGTTATACCTGTGTATGGGTCCTGTTATACTTGTGTATGGGTCCTGTTATACTTGTGTATGGGTCCTGTTATACTTGCGTATGGGTCCTGTTATACTTGTGTATGCGTCCTGTTATACATGTGTATGGGTCCTGTTATACTCGTGTATGTGTCCTGTTATACTCGTGTATGGGTCCTGTTATACTCGTGTATGGGTCCTGTTATACTCGTGTATGGGTCCTGTTATACTCGTGTATGGGTCCTGTTATACTTGTGTATGGGTCCTGTTATACTTGTGTATGGGTCCTGTTATACTTGTGTATGTGTCCTGTTATACTCGTGTATGTGTCCTGTTATACTTGTGTATGTGTCCTGTTATACTTGTGTATGTGTCCTGTTATACTTGTGTATGTGTCCTGTTATACTCGTGTATGTGTCCTGTTATACATGTGTATGGGTCCTGTTATACTCGTGTATGTGTCCTGTTATACTTGTGTATGGGTCCTGTTATACTCGTGTATGGGTCCTGTTATACTCGTGTATGGGTCCTGTTATACTCGTGTATGTGTCCTGTTATACTTGTGTATGGTCCTGTTATACTTGTGTATGGGTCCTGTTATACTCGTGTATGTGTCCTGTTATACTTGTGTATGGGTCCTGTTATACTCGTGTATGGGTCCTGTTATACTCGTGTATGGGTCCTGTTATACTCGTGTATGTGTCCTGTTATACTTGTGTATGTGTCCTGTTATACTCGTGTATGTGTCCTGTTATACTTGTGTATGGGTCCTGTTATACTTGTGTATGGGTCCTGTTATACTTGTGTATGGGTCCTGTTATACTTGTGTATGGGTCCTGTTATACTTGTGTATGGGTCCTGTTATATTCGTGTATGGGTCCTGTTATACTCGTGTATGTGTCCTGTTATACTTGTGTATAGGTCCTGTTATACTCGTGTATGGGTCCTGTTATTGCGTGTCAGGTTTTCCTTATTTTCTCTTTCGCAGAGTGGATCTTCCAGATTTTTTTATTTAATCTTATTCCTTATTTAGTCCATCAAGTCTTGTATTGTTTTCGCTGTATTTTCACAACATTTTATCTGGTATATATTTCTGGCATTCTGGTTCTTGAGGTTAAGATATGCTGGTCTAACAGTCTCATTATTGTTCTGGCATCATATAGTCAGAGACTAATGACTTCCTTTAATTTATCATGGTCAATATTCTCTTCATCAGTCGTGTTGTGAGAGTGATGAACCTCCCTAGCCTTGTTTACCAGGCAGTGTGTGGCCATGATCATATCATATAAGTCTTCTAGGAGGATAATGTTAATAATAAGACTCGTGTAAGTCTTATAAGATTGATACTAAGACTAATATAAGTCTGCTAGTAGGGTAATATTAATAATAAGACTCATGTAAGTCTTTTAAGACTGATTCTAAGACTAATATAAGTCTTCTAGTAGGGTAATATTCGAGACCGGCTGCTCTAGAATGCGCTCGATATTGATCTACATTGATAATTTCTCTGCTGTTGCACTCGTAGCCTTGCCCATGATCACAACTATGGACTGGTAATATTAATAAATAAATAAATAAATGTTTATTCAGGTAAGGTACATACATACAAGAGATTTTACAAAAATTGATCGATTTATAGATAGAGGTAGTACATACAATGCCTAAAGCCACTATTACGCAAAGCGTTTCGGGCAGTCTTAGAGTCTGTCTCAACCGCATCATTTGTCTTCGCTATTCTGTGTTGGTAGGTGTTTGTAATTCAAATTTCACTATCTAGTAAGTCCAGTATAGAAGTGCGTGAATGCTCCGAATATTGCATCCATCAGGACAATTTGGAGGGGGTAGGGGAGGGGGGGGGGAAGGGCTTTGACAAGCTGCCGGCTTCCTGTCTTCGAGGCCACTAGAGTGTTGGGGGGCCCCTTGGGTAAAATCAGGTATATTTACCTCTGCAAGGAGGAATACTTTTTGTATTCATATATGTGTTGCGTGTAGCTGTTGGTGTATATATGGGCTTAGAATCCCCACTACTGCACACCGAGAGCTGTGATGGGGTGGGGGACGGGGCAGGGGTGGGGATGGGACGCGGGATTACTGGGATAAGGGGTGAGATATAGGGGGGAGGAGACTGGTGTGTGAGGGGGGGAAGGTGGGGGGACTAGAGTGAGGGTGACCAGAGGCCTGAGCACCGGGGAGGGGTCGAGGTGGACCGGTCGGCACTACTACCGGACCACCGGTACACAGTTCCTCTCTAATAATAACAGTGTTTAATATTCACTCGGGATTCAGGTAATACAAGTGTTTACATATCAAGAGTAATAACCATCGAGTCAGAGCTACTTTGTGAGACCCTTATTGGTGGGTGTGTGGGTGTACTCACCTGGTTGTACTTGCGGGGGTTGAGCTCTGGCTCTTTGGTCCCGCCTCTCAACTGTCAATCAACTGGTGTACAGATTCCTGAGCCTATTGGGCTCTATCATATCTTCATTTGAAACTGTGTATGGAGTCAGCCTCCACCACATTTCTGCTTAATGCATTCCATCTGTTAACTACTCTGACACTGAAAAAGTTCCTTCTAACGTCCCTGTGGCTCATTTGGGTACTCAGTTTCTACCTGTGTCCCCTTGTTCGCGTACCACCCGTGTTAAACAGTTCATCCTTATCTACCCTGTCAATTCCTCTGAGAATTTTGTAGGTAGTGATCATGTCTTTCAAGCTTCGTCTTGAGCTTGTCAAGGTATGGGTTCCATGCTGTGGCCGCATACTCCAGGATTGGTCTTTGGTCTTACATATGTGGTATACAAAGTTCTGAATGATTCCTTACTTGATTCTTGCTTGATTTGTGTTGCCTTGTCGTATAATTCAAGTAATCCTGTGAGGCATGATTTGCCATCCCTGAACCCATGCTGATGTTGTGATACAAAGTTCTTCCGCTCCAGATGTTCCACTAGCTTTTTTCGCACAATCTTCTCCATCACCATGCATGGTATGCAGGTTAGGGACACTGGCCTGTAGTTCAGTGCCTCCTATCCATCCCCCTTCTTGTATATTGGGATTACATTAGCCGTCTTCTAAATTTTTGGCAGTTCACCTGTTACCAGTGATTTGTTATACACTATGGAGAGTGGCAGGCACAGTGCTTCCTGTTTCTTCCTTTGGTATCGAAGGGGAGATTCCATACGGACCTATAGCCTTTGTCACATCCAACTTTAGCAAGAGCTTCCTTACATCCCCACTGGTAATCCCAAACTCTTCTAGTGGTTCCTGGTTAACTATTCCCTCTCTTATATCTGGACCTTCTCCTTGCTCTAATGTGAAGACCTCCTGGAATTTCTTATTGTTCTTTGCACACTTCCTTGTCGTTTGTAGTGAATCTATCTGGCCTTATCCTCAGTTTCATTACCTGTTTCTTCACTTTTGTTTTTCTTCTGATGTGGCTGTGCAGCAATTTAGGTTAAATCTTTGTCTTGTTTGCTATGTCATTTTTTTATTGCCCTTCCTTCTTCTCAACCTGACGTATTCATTCCTGGCACTCTGGTATCTTTCTCTGCTCTCAAGTGTCCAGTTATTTCTATAGTTTCTCCACGCCCTTTTACTTTGCTTAGCTAGCCTACATCTCTGATTAAACCATGGGTCTCTCATCTGCATTTCATTTTTTTCTTTTTTGGACCGGGACGAACTTGTCTGCTGCTTCCTTACACTTCTTCGTTATTAATGTAACATCACTTGTATGTATATACCTTACCTGAATAAACATCTGAATCTGAATCTGAATCTGAATCTTCTGTGTGATGTAGTCCATCAAGTCTCGGCCCGTCTTTCCCCTGAACTCTGTTTCCCCATGTTATATCTTTTAGGAATTTTCTTATCTCCTCATAGTTTCCCTTATGGAATGCCAGCCCTTTGTTTTCAGGTCCGTTTCTTGAGTACTTTATCCCTTCTTCGACCAGCTGCTCAAACGTCAGTACACTGT